AGCTGCAACAGTTCACACAAGAGTTGCCAACTGAAACTAGTTGACGGAGGAAGAAGAAGAGCAAAGCTACACATTCACTGTGCCCACTGTGTTTGTTTTTTTTTTTATCTCTGGTACTTCCTCATTTCTTCTGTTGCCACCACCATTTCTTCACTTACCTCTGCAGGAACAAGTCAGGGATTTGAACAATTCTGATGTGATGATCTGCTCCTGTTCACTCTCGCCTTCTTCGGGGTGTTCCTGTTATTATTATATCTCTGCAGTTCTGCTCAGTGTCCCCCCCATGCTTTTTGCATGCACAGCACACACACACATGCACACATACCAACAGTGTGGCTTTTCACTGTGTGTTTTGATACTAGTGCAAGATACTCTCCGAGGACAGCTGCACTGATGCTTGATGAAAAGAGAAAGCTGCTGTTGCTGCTGTTGTTTTTTTATTTTCTGCTTATTTTGACTCTTGAGGAGAGAAAGTAAAAGAGGGAAAGATAATAAAGGGGAAGCAACCAGAAATAGAGCAAAGTGAAATCAGGTTGAAGCCAATTTTGAAATGGAAAACGAAAGCTAAACGAAAACTACACAAGACGAGTACTAAAAGAAAAAACAAGGTTTCAGACAAAAAGGAAAAGAAAAAACTGTGACAAATTATCCAGAGTAAAAAGAGAGTAGGAGAATATGATAGGTCGTTGCTTCAGGAAGGGCATCCGGCGTAAAACACGTGTCAAATGTCAACATGCGAGTCGTCGGTGTGACGATTCGCTGTGGCGACCCCTAAATGGGAAAAGCCGAAAGTGACTTACTAGGAGAATATGATGGACAGGCAGAGGATTTCAGAGTCTGGCTTAATAATAAAGTCTTTAATGTAACATGTTGAATGGCAGGTTACTGGAGAGATTTATGCTTTTTTTTTGTAACAGAGTCACTCTCCACCAAACAAAAGGAAAACCTTAACCTGTATTTTCCACCCTCGTTGTTGTAAAGTCCCTTTAAACTGACAAGTTCCCCAATGACTTATCAAGTCATCCATAAAGATTAAACAGCTGTCCAGCATTTCCTTCTCCTTTAAACAGCAAGCTGCAAGATGTTGCCCCTGTTTCTGTAACAACAAGTCCTTCAGCCTAAACAACCATATACTGTAGGTTATTTGTTGGTAGATAGGCCTACTGAAATCATAAGCAGCATTTCCATGAAGGAAGTTAATATGATGTTATTCTTGATAGAATATCAAGATGTTCAAATGCTTGCACCCTGAAGACAGCTTGAAAGAAGCAACTAGGACCAACAAGAAGGAGTGGCTTCCTCTAAATCCATGTGGATCATTGTCTGGGATGCACTATAGATTCTATAGCCACACTTACAGTACTCTGATTGTATTCTGCCCCTCTGGCCCAGAATCAGCAGCATCAATACCAGGGTATAACTCTGAGAAACAGAGAGTAACGTACGAAAAGCCAGATATGGACGGGCAGACTGTCCTTTTATAAAACAACAGTTTGTGAACGTGTTTTCATATAGACCGAAGAAAAAAACAACTTGATGTATTTGTTCTTTTTATCTGCCAAATACACAAGAAGACAGTGGTGCGGTGGGTAGAGCAGTTATCTCCCAACCAGAAGGTTGAAGGTTTGAATCTCGGTGCCTGCAGTCCACATGTCGAAGTGTCCTTGGACAAAACACTGAACTCTCCCAAGTTGTCCCCGATGGTTAGAGCCATCAGTTGAGTTGGCGCCGCAGTTGGCTGCCTCAGTTCTGTACCAGAAACAAATTCCTTGTGTGTAACATACTTGGCCAATAAAGGTGATTATCTTAATTAATAACTTGTTGAAAACAACCTTTCACAAAATATGTAATGTTCCCCACAGTCAATGCATTAAAAAACTGTGTGATTTTTGGGGGGAGTCTGGGCAGCATAAGGAGTTGCAGACCATATATATGTTTGCAGTCAGTAAAGTTTTGCAAACTGCAATATGTTTTTTGAGTGTAAATGTTAAAGTCACATGGTGTCTTGTACTCCCACTTTATAATAATAGAAACAAATGACAAAACATTTCTGGGAGACAGACAGATGATGTTGGTGCTGCTAGTTGGTCTATAATTCTCAAGCTTCACACATGAAAACATTTCATGTGCATTACTATACATCAGGTAAAGAAAGAAAATTAAATTCAGCTTGGTGTTCAGTGTGAGGGATTACCTACAGTATCTCTAGATTGGGATCAGCGCAGGGCTGGATGTTGATACTCATCTTCATTAATTCGATTTTGATTCTCTTAATTTCAGTTTGATTTGATTCATTATGATTCATTTACTTCAGATATTGCATAAATATTTCTCAGAACCTTGGGAACTTAAATGTTTTAGCAGGGAACACTGTTTCTTTGAGTAAAAAAAATGATGTAAAGTTCATATTATAAGATAAATTGTAAACACATTTCCTGGTTATAATGTAGACCATGGATGTATCGTCCTTGTCAAATGCAAATGACATCTATATTTGTAGGCCAACATGTGCAAACCAGTTGAGCATTTGGAATAAAACATCCTCAAACACATACTAAGCCAGTTAAACAGTTCTTGGAATGCGTATGCGGTGTATCATGATGCCTTTGAGCATATGCTTTATAAGGATCATGTGGTCATGTCCTTTTGTGTAAATGTTTTCTGGTCTCCATAACTCTGATTTTGGCACAGAGTTTTGTTTTAACTTTGCAAGTTGGCTCATTAAACACAGACACAGATAAACAGAAAGCTTAGGAGGCTGTGGTAATCCAGTGATGTTTTGGGTATTAGGATGACCTGGATGGTACAATCCAGTCAAGGAGCCGCACAGGTCACAAATGAGAGAGGGAAGAAAACAGAGATTGGTGGAAATTCAGGACAACAGGGTGAAAGAGGAGGATTACAGGAGAGAGAGAGAGAAAATAAATGTGGGAGAATAAATGAGAGAGGCAGGAGGGAGATCAAATAACAGTGGAAAGTCAAGGGTTAAAGACAGATGAGAGACACTTACATCATCACTCTGCTCCTGCACACAAACACAGACGGTCTGTAACAGCAGATGGAAGCAGTGGAGTGTGTGCCAAGTGTCTTTTTAATTTCTGAATGAATGTTGTTCTTGTGAACTGTTGTGTAATGATGCACATACTTTATGAATGAGCCTCCACAGGTGAGAAAGTACACTGGGTTTGAACTCTCTCTAGCTCTCTCTTTTGTCATCCTTTCACGCAGCTATTCCTGTCACTGTTTATGTGAACAGTATCAAAAAATAAAAGTACATGTACTCATTATGCACTACATCACATTTATATTATTGAATTATAATTATTGATGTATTATTGTATTTATCACATTTAATGTTGCAGCTGGTAAAGGTGGAGCAATGGACAGGAATCACTAGACTAAGATGCAAAATATAGTGCCCTTCTTCTTTTTTATCCAGTCGAATCCTTTTGAATTGAAAATTGCACATCACCCAATGACAATGGTGTGGCTCATGTGTTTCTTAATAGTTTTTGAACAGTAGCTGAGCCCTGTGGCATAGTGGAATATGATATATCAGGCTTTGGCTATAAAGAAAGCAACTGGTAGGAGCACATGGATAGTTTTGGTCTTGTCATGATACTTCGTGATTTAAAAATGATTTAGTTTTTTTTTTTTTGTTGTTTTGCTTAACTGGTTGGTGTTTTGGCTGCAGAGCAAACCTACCACTGTGAAATTAAATCAAAGGTTTATCCAAACAGTGTAATTGCTTGTTAGTGAAGCCTCATGATTAATGTGATTACTCACGTCCTCCTCGGGATGGCACAAGATATGTTTTCATTGTTGCAACACCACGTCTTCCTTCTGCAGGAATTCCTTATGAAAAAACATCTTACAGTTTTTCTAGAATAGTGGTTCCCAAAGTGGGGATTGTATCCCTAGATATATTCGAAGGGGTCCTAAGCTAATTAAAAGAAGTAAAACAAAACAAAAACAAAACCCACCCCCCAAAAAAACATAACATCATGTTATTGTTTATTTTTATCATTTGTTTTTCCTGACTTTTCTCTCCTTTTGGAGCCGTTTTGAATGCAAGTAGATGTTGCTTGATTTTATGGTATCAAAGCTAAAAATGTAGGGAATCACTGCTGTGGTTGCAGAGGATCAAACATTCAGTTTGCGACCAGCAGCACTCACTCTCTGACTTGGGCTTTAACTCTGCAGAAGTTGCTTACTGAAAACCAGAAATAACAAGATTTGCTCTCGACCAGCTTGTCTGCTGAATGGCAGCGTCTGATTCCCAAACACAGATAAGGAAGTGTTATTGGAGCAAACAGTGACGCTGTCGGGCTGACACACGTGTAACTATAGACTGCAGAGTCCAGTGGGTCCCCAGGGTGAAGAGCAACAGAATGTGTACAACAGAGCACTAAATAACGTGGACTGACACAGAGCAACAGCTTCATAATAGATTTGTTGCTCCTGTGGGACTGGAGCACCAGCTTTGTGGTTTGTGTGTGTATCTCAGTGGGTTGTTGGACCACATTCTTGTGAAAAGGAGTGCTATCTGTCACACGTGTCTGATGAACAGATTGAATTTTAGCAAGATTCGGGAAATGTCCCACACCAATTCTTTCAGTTACAGACATCAACAGAACTTACAGAAAGCATGTTCACATGTTGTTTTGAAATGAAACTGTTTTATGAGAGCATGGCTTGATATTTGTGTCTAGTGTAAATGTAATCACCCTGGCAGAGTTAAGTTCATTATGATAATGTGATGATAATGGATGTGTGTGTTAAAGAGTGATACACCCTGCCTGCTCAGCCAAGACCCCCAATATATTCACAGCTAAGACAGGTGTGACCTTACATAATGTTTTTTTTACTTGCATGCTTTCTGTATTCTTAAAATAATTATCGCTTACAGCAGTGTGCCTGACACACTTTGTTATTTCAGTTGTAAATAATAAATGCTCACACTCTCCATCCTGCTTTTCTCCTTCCTTTTCTTTGTTCAGGAGAAGCAAAAAACATTCCTCCATACCCAGGACCAAACAGGATGCGGGACTGTTACTGCACTGTCAACCTGGACCAAGAAGAGGTCTTCAGGACCAAGATTGTTGAGAAATCACTTTGGTACGTTGAGGGCCCGTTATCTACATTTGCATCTTTTTGTTTTCTCATCCTTTCAGGCTGTTTCCACAGAAATGTGCACTCATAAAAATATAAGGTCAAAAGTCAGGGCTGATGTGGTATAAATATGTAAACAAATCATGGAATATGGTGTCCTTCCAAGGACAACTTACTTCATAGAAATTAGAGGAAGCTGGTGCTTTCCAAAGAAAAACATCACTGCACAAATGATGTTTGCCAGTGAGCACACTGACCCGCCACAGTGCTTCTAAATGTTTTGTGGACTGATGTATATAAGGTTGAATTTCTTGGGGAAAACATATATATGGCAGAAAAATGGCAACTGTGCACCTACATGAAACCACCATGCCAGTAGTGACGTATGGTGAAAGGAGCAGCATGATTTGGTGCTTCTTTCCTGCCTCTGGCCTGAACAGCTGTGCTATCTTCAAGGGGGAAAAGAATTTCCAAGTTTATCAATGTATCTTAAAGGGTCAGAATGGCAGTCCACCAGCTGAAGCTCAGTACAAGCTGGCTGATGCAGCAGAACAGTGACACTAAATGTTTAAGTAAATCTACCACAAAATAACTTGAAACAAAGTGGCCCAGTCAGAGCCCAGACTTTGACCCCGTAAAGATGCCGTGAAATGGCCTCAGAGCTGTTCACACCAGAAGCCCTAAGAATATGTCTGAGCCAAAGCTGTTCTATGAGGAAGAATGGCCAAAGATTCCTCCTGAATGTTGCACTATGGCCAAAGATTCCTCCTGAATGTTGCGCTGGTCTGATCCACAGCTACTGGAAGTGCCTGTCCAAGGTTATTTGTGCCAAAGGAAGTTTAGCCAGTTATTAAATCCAAGGGCTAATTAGCCTTTTTTTCCGCCGGCACTGTGAATGTTTAATGGCTGTGTTCAGTAAAGACACAAAACATTATAGCTGTTTGTATGTTATTAGGTTAAGCACTTTTTTCCCCGTGTGACTTTTGCCGGCTGTACATGTTTGAATGAATGAACGCTTTCAGGAACGGCACAGCAGATTTCATTGTACTTCTGTGTGCAATGACAGTAGAGGTTATCTTATTTTGTCTTACCTTATCTGAGGATCAGATCAGAACCTCGAAATTCCAAACAGCACTGAACAGTTCAAGTAGACTTGTAGTATATACAAGTGTATGGTGAACACGCCAAATTCTATCTCGGTATCCTTACATTTACCAAATTTTCTGGCCACAGTTGAGTTCTTAATAAATAGTGGAAATACTTGTCCTAGATAAAGTTCATATCTAAAAACTCTTAAGAATAAAATAAAATAATAAAAGAGAAAAGTAAAAGACATCTGGATCTAGAAAATTTTGACTGTAGCAGGGTTGGCCAATCAGATTCTGGAGGCGGCTAGTGCCATCGCTGGCCACCCACTGGATCTATACAGTATACAGCTCTGGGAAGGCTCAGGGTCACCTGATCCAGCCCTAACTACTAGATTGATCATAGAGGAAAGTCTTAAGTCTGATCTTAAAGATAGAGAGGATGTCTGCCTCCCAAACTGAGACTGGGAGCTGATTCCACAGGAGAGGAACATGATAGCTAAAGGCTCTGCCTCCCATTCTACTTCTGTGGACTCTAGGAACCACAAGTTAGACCTGTTGGGATGATAAGGCACAATATACTGTACATTGTCATCTTTCAGCAACTAAATGTATAAATCTGTTTTTGTGTTTGTGGTACAACATCCCCTATCAGACAAGTGTCTAATCATAGGTGGCCTTGTGTCTCCTCTCTCACCTCCAGTCCATTCTATGGGGAGGACTTCTACTGCGAGATCCCACGAAGCTTCAGACACCTCTCCTTCTACATTTTCGACAGGGACGTGTTCAGGAGGGACTCCAGTATCGGTGAGGAAACAGCTGCTCTGTCTGCTGTAAACTCATCTTTCATCTCTAACCCAACAACAGCTACAGCACCGTTTATGAAATAGCTGTAGCACAGATGTGTGCATGAGCCAGAAAGGTTTTTTAGCTTTTGCTTTGCCCACTGTATATGTGCCTTAACGTCGACCCCACTGGTCCCATGGATCACACTTTATATTGTGATGATGTCACAAAATTAAAACCCACTTTTGCAGGTTATGGGAGAGTTTTACAAGCATAAAACCTACATGGATTAGAATTTCATAATAGAGTAAAAACTGAACTTGTTTGCTGTTGGAAGTGTCCTGTCAGCACTTTTACAGATGTCTCATTTATAATATTTTTTTTACAGCACTTTCCTCATCAAAACTGAACAAATAGCTGAATCATCAAATAAACACATGCATCTGTAGTGATTATTGGGGTATTCACTGATACACAGTGTGACTCCTCAGCACATTTAGGGTTCTTTTCTCAACACACTGTAGTTAATGTGCAAAGCTTTCACTGTGAAGTTTTGCCGTTTTTAATGTCTTTTTTGTAATCAGACCATAAGAAAGTCTCGCTTTGCATCGGGCCTCTGCACATTAGTCAAGATCGATACCACACTCATGTTTGTACCATAAATAAAAGCTATCACCAGCAGCTGGTTAGCTTAGTCTATTATAAATACTGGGATCAGTGAGAATCCTGGAGCCAATGCCAGCCACCTTTTAGCACCTCTAAAGATTGCTAATTAACTCCATATCTAGTTTGTTCAATCTGTAAAAAATTACGAAAATTAAATGTTTCTTTTTGTATGACGAAAAACAATATTTTATGCTAAGTTAAACTAACAAGTCCGATGTAGTCTCATATTAAACAGGCTGGTACTAGAGTGGTATCAATCTTCTCACTCTAACTTTTAGCATATTTTGCAAAATGTCAAGTTATTCCTTTAATAACATTTTATATAGGACCTTAGTTACACTTAGTGTAAGTGGTGTGAGTCTGTTTGGTGTGAACGGGTGTTTTTATCAGTTACTGGGTGTGGTGTTTGGTGCATTTGTGTTCTTGTGTGTGTGTGTGACCACAGACTGCAAAGCGACAAATCTTTCTCAGGGTGTGATTTTTAGTTTCAGCACTATCAGTTCATATGTGTATGTGTGTCTATATGTGGGAAGTTGTTTGTGGGTGTAACCTGTTAGTTTCACAGTGACAGGGTCATTTGTAGGACATTAATAATATACTTTGCAAGTACTGCTGCCCCAGGTGCCCTTGTGCATTAAAAAGAGACTGGTTTGTGCATTTAGAATATGAGCGGTCGTGGGCATGTGTGGGTGTTTGCTGAGTGTTTTTTGAACCTTGCATAGGCTTTTTAGGAAGTGCTAAGTGGGTTATGTTTTGATCTCATTTGTCTTTGTGGTGTGTTAATGTGTGCGTAGGCAAGGTTGCAGTGAAAAAAGAGGACCTACAGAAGTATCATGGCAAAGACACATGGTTCCAGCTGCAACCTGTCAGCGCTGACTCAGAGGTGCAGGTCAGTAAAAAGAGAAAACACAGACACACACACAATATAGATCTTTAAAACAAAGCACCCTCTTCATATTTTCTCTTGTGTCTGTGCTTCTTCACAAAAAACACATAACATTTATCGGACTGGACTTCGATTTGATGCCTAAAGCTGCCAACAAATGGTTGTCCAAATCAATAATTGTATTCTCTAATCTTTGAAACTTTTTGTACAGCTGCTTTTGTTAAAAGCAATACTGTATATTCCCAGTAGTTCTGGAGCACAGAACCTCAGGCCTTTATTTGGGACTGACAGTCTTATATTAGAGATTATATCTCCCTTGTTCCCCAGTTAATGCAAATTCAACACTTCCACAGCACAAATTCTGTCAGCACAACAACAGAGTCAGGTGTTCCACTTTTCCACACAGGTTGTGACTGAATGACACTGAGCACGTCCTGCAAAATGTTTACATTAGCACAGATCAGGAGTCTGGCGAGAAAGAAATGACTGCAACTAATTTTAACAGTGTTTTTGTTAAAAAAGAGAAAGTTAGGTATAAACTGATAAAAGGCCCATTTGCTCGTAGACTGCAGCAGTTTTACTTGGTCTGACCAGTGGCTGTTGGTGGCTGATTTTAACAAATGTAGGTGATAATGCTGTGTACATTACCGAGTCAGTTTACTGCTGACCTTGTTATATTTGGGTTATACTTACAGTTACTCCACACTTACTATTACCTTGTAATTGCCACTTGTGGCTACAGTATGCATTGTTCAGCAGATGTCACAGAAATTTGCTTTAACATCTGAGTCTTCTGTTAAAAGAAAACAGGATTTTGACAGATTATATTACTCAAAGTATGGTACTGTTTTATTACTGCTGCTGAAATTCAGCTAGTGTAAATGTGCTCTAATAAAAATGTCACACAGTCCCCAGTCCTGCACAGTCTAGTATGCATAGATATACATGCTTCCATGTTAGTGTTTGAGGAAGGGCAGAACCCAAACAAACAGCGTGTTGCACCTGAAATGCCCTGCAGGGTCAAAGACACCTGGGTCTTTGTGTGTAAAACCCATTTGTTCAGCTCCATCACAGCGCAGTTTGCAATAAGCTGCTCCTTTTATTTTCCACATTCTTACTTGTCATAAATGAAAGCCAGCTGGCTGTGATAGGTGATAAAGTGCATGTTTGGGTCACATGTTGCGGTTTAGATTTCAGGATGATAATAGGATGTCACTCAGTGAAGTAAAAGGGCATTTTTTGCACTCACTGACCCACATGCATGGTTGCACACACCATACACGCACAGACAGGGTCGCACACTCCCAACACATAGTACTACACACACACACACACACACACACACACACACACACACACACAGCCAACTCACACGCCTATGAAGCAAGGGACACAGTGAACAGTGAACAGTAACATCTGCAGACAGATGGGTGTGTGTAGCCCTAGAGCAGGGGTCTGAAACAGAGACACATTCATCCGAGGAGCCGGGGAGAGGAAGGATGTTGTGAGTATGAGAGAAAAGCGAGGGAGATGGATCAAATGAAGTAGCTAGATAGAGTGTCTCTCTTTTCTTTTCAATAGAGGCCACATTGTTTGGCCTGTGTGCACATGCGTAAGTGCGTGTGTTTGTTCCCTTTGCTTGAATCAGCCAGAAAGAGTGACGCCTGTGAGTTTGCATACTGATGCTGTTAATTAACGAGCTTTTCTAGACAGCTGCACCACTACAGTGTCATTATGTCATTAATCTAGTCACTTCAGGGGGAAAATAACTGCAGCATGATCTTAAGGGTCACAAGTATTTTCTCTGTTAGTGAAGGAACATCACTTTTTATATGTGTTTTTGTTTTGTACATGGTTTATAAAAAAAAACAACAACTTATCTGTATGTTGTTTCCTTATACATGCCAACTATGAATCAACAGTTGAAATCCCTTATACAGTGTCTAAAGTACATAAGATGATTTAATATGTCTATCACTGTCGGTTTGTGGTTTTGATTTTGGGACGTACTGGGAGAGTCATAAGCTCATGGTTAGATCTAAGAGCGAAGCAGCTGGACTCAGCGCTGATCAGTGAAAACTATGTACACAATCTCCAAGTTTGGTAAATTATATGACTGCAGACAACTTGAAGGATTGAATGTTTTTTATGAGTTGAAGCCCATGGTGGGACTTCTTAGATTCTATCTGTGAAAGGTGACATTTTGGAACAGATTGGGTAGCACATTGTTGTCTGGGTCAGCAGACAAATTTCTTGCTCAGCTCAATTTCAAATGCATACAAAACAAATTGGAAATACATGGTTTTCACTGCCTGTGACGGGGCACCTGGCTGTGTGGTGGACAGTGGTGCTCAAAGGTTCATAAGTACTTCTTAGCACTCAGTACTTTTACATTCTGCAGTTTTATAGAAGAAAACTGGTATGTGTTCTGCAGGGAAAAGTGCACCTGGAATTGCGTCTGAGTGAAGTCATAACAGACAGCGGAGTCATCCACAATAAATTAGCCACAAGGTAAGGCTGCACACACACACACACACACACACACACACACACATACACACATGCACATTTGTTTTCAGCAGCATCTTTGTTAGACCTCAAGGTTATTAGGGACTATACAGTGTCGTACATTTGTTTCCTGGAGACTGGCTCTAACCTTAACCATAACCACTACTTGCCTAACACCTAACCCTCAAACCAAGTTGTCACCCTGGTGTCACCCTGGTGTCACCATGGTGGCGATGAGCATTTGGTCTCCATGAAGGTGGTCAGGTTCCCACATTGTGAATGTGTAAACCGGTTTCAGTCCCCACATTATGATTAATATCAGGAGCACACACATTGTGTTATTTTTACATAGCAGTACTATGCCCTGTGTTTTCATTTGTCCTATCTGAGGTTTATACCTGGTATTTGCTATGGCAGTACATATAAAGTAGAGTTTATGTACAGAGACATAAAGGTCATTTAAGGTGTAGGGGTTTTTTTGTATCCTTGAGGTCCAACAAAGATGTTGAATACATTAGCAAAAAACATTTTTGGACTAGTTAACAGCTTACATTGTTTACACCCATGTGTTCTTGCTAGCACTCTTCTTCTTACTTGCTGTTTTTGACACATCGTTACATTCTTGGCTATGTTATGGTCACCAGCTGACTCCCTGAGCCCCAGATTTACTCCATAACATTTCTGTCGACATAGTTTGATTAATCACAGATCTGTTAGAAATGTGTACAGCTCAAGTGTAATATCAGCTGTAACAGGTTCTCCATCTTGTAACTGTTCTGCAAAGGGACGCTGTATTGTATGGTCTGAGGAAAAACATGAGCTGTTATGCTGACTTTGACTGATTAAAATATGTTCTGTCAAACGCATGAGATGAACAACTGAAAAATGTGCCCGAAATGCAAACATTTGCACTATCAATATGCCTGATGATTATTTTCTTTATCATTTGCTGACTTTGTATGAATGACAAACTCCTAAAATATTGTGTTTACTATCATAAAAAAACTGTGAAAATAGCAGATATGTACATTTAAGAAGCTGGTGGCAGTGATATCTTTGGCATTTTTGTTTAAAATGACTTTAATGATTGTTGGCAGCTGTAGCTCAGGAGGTAGAGCAGGCCATCCATCAATTGAAAGGTTGCCGGTTTCATCCTTGGCTCCTCCAGTACTCACTTCTAGAGTATTGTTTGGTTTCTGGGTGCCTGGTGAATTGATGAAAGTGACTTGTATAAATGGGGTCAGTAGTGGCCCAGTAACAAATCTTTGCCCCAGGGCCCCCTGGGAGGGTCATACGGCCATGACCTTCAAGTTATAAACAAGTTGAAATCAACACTGAGGCAGACCTGCTTCCACATATGTGTTGATATGGACAGTATGAGGTATGATGGCAGTTGGCAGTGAGTTTGGCTTGACATCAGAGCTCTTTGTTTATAGCCTGTGTCTTTTTGAATGTGTGAATCAGTGTGTTATGGATATTAAGAAGTCATAAATCTGCTCTTACAACATTGCTTCTGTAAGTGTGTGTGTGGTGTCGAGTGTGCAAAATGTGGTTGTACACCCTCAGGACATGGATGGATTATCCTGAGTGTATGTGTGTGTGCTTGTCCACTCTACAGCTCTTCTTCTGTAACATGCAGCAGTAAAGTCTGATGATGGGCCAGCGTGGCAGCATTCCCAGAGCACATTGTGGGTAAGGAGTTTAGAGCAGAGTGCAGGAGGTCATCTAGTAGATTTCTCTTGAAAGACACGTGTATGAGAGAGACCGCAGGGGGGTGGTGCCCATTCATCTTTACAGATCATATGAAGTTACTGAAAGAAACCACACATGCACTTGTTTTTATTTAGAATCTTATATAAGTCTGGAGTCAACAAATCCTCCATGTCAGTCAAAGATAAGTTGGTGTTAAATGCAGAAAGAGGCACCAGCTTCTTTCATTCACGATTTTATACATCTCACTCAACCTCATAGTAGATTTTTGCCTACTGGAGGAAATGTAATAGTAACCAAATATTATAATCTAACACTCACGGCGGCCAGTTTTTGCATAGCAAGTACTTTTACTTTTAATACTTTAAGTATAGTCAACAAATATTTTTGTGCTTTTATTCAAGGTATGTTGCATAGTATGAAATCTGACAACAGTAATCACTGCTTGTGGAAGATACTCAAGTTCCTGTTAATCATTTAGTATTTCATATCGCTCATTTGGAAAAGTGCATTAGTCAACAATAGTGACTCATAATCACTTTTTTTCTGTGTGGTGTTTCTTTAGGGTGGCGGATATAATCTGTTTCCCTTTTGTTTGATTGAAAATATTTTTGACAGGATATGTGGGTGCAGAAAAAAAAACACATTAACCTAATATGAGTAATGTTGGTTAAAACAAATAAATGTACTTCACCACTGTCTGGTGTTGTCAGAGCTCAGAGCAGTGATGAGAGGGAGAGGGCTTGATAGTAGGCCAAGCAGGGGTTACATAAACAAGCTTACTGGACAGGAAGCACTCTGGCATTAGTGATGCTTAACCCAGCCCACTCCTTATTCCTAAATAGGAACTTGTATGGGTGTGTGTGTCAGCAGGATGGCAGCACTAAGATTTGCTGTGTAATTCATCATGCAGTGTGACTAGCGGTGCGTCACCGTGACACACAGGATGTGATTCGTCCCGCTGGGTCTCCTGTCCTGTTTGGGTGCTTACAGCATGATGTCATTGGGCAGCGGGACAGCTGTGACACAGGAAGAGATAGATAGATGGATAGACAGAAAAATTTAAGTCATTGTCTGTCACCCGCTTCATCTGCGGGTCACCACTGCAGGTTAATTGCAATCCACATATGTAATTTGGCACAGGTTTTCTGCAGGATGCGCTTCCTGACACTGATGCATCAATAGTTAACAAGAAATAAAATGAATTAACACTGCCAAACAAAGAACAAATGAAGTTAAATACAATTTAAAAAAAAAAACAACAACTACATTTGAGGGAAGCAAAGATGTCCATGCAATCCATGAAAAGAGATGAGAGATGTGAATGAGTTAGGTAAACTGTTTGAGCTTGATGGTGCTTTAAATTTAAAATCACCTCTCCCAGTTTCTTTAAAGATTATATGCACAATAAAGAAGGGGTTTTGAGTGTGAGCAAATTTCTACATGCATGTGTATGATGGAATTTGGAAAGAGGAATTTCTGCAGAGCTATGTACAAGTACAATGTAAAAAATTTTTGTTTTTTGATCCTGTTTTATATTACTTTATATATTTGAGACCCACATATGAGGGTCAAATCCTTCCTGAGCTTTCTTTTCTATATCTCTCATATAGTCATTCTGATCTGTCTACCATAGAGTCAGGCATCTGTCTATTGTCCTCATGATCTGGTCTTTTCATCTGTTTATTTTATTTCTGTCTGACCCCTCTCTCTCTCTCAAGTGGTCCTTGTGCAGGGTCTGTGGATCTCACAGAATTTAAAAATAGCACAGCTCTTTGCAAACAGCTCAAGTGGAGTTGCTCCATGTCTTTGTAACCATCCCTCTTTGCGTGCCTTTCCTACGTACTGTACTTTACATACCTAACACCGACTCAAGAGGCAGTTCACACATGCTGAGGAAACTCTGAGAGCTCTTACTGAACAAAATTTATAGCATGGACTCCCAGCGTAGGAGGGAGCTGCAGTGTGAACAGACCAGATGTTTTATGTCTGTAGGAAGGGGGCGGCTCATCGACCTGCTCGATATGATGCTCACTTTAGATGTAGTAAATAATAAATAAATAATATTACATACAGAAATATTGTCATAGTTTTCAGAAAATTTGTGGGTGCCAGTTGTTTTTTTACTCATTAGAGATGTGTTTACACTGCAGACACGTTTAATGGAGCGGAGTCATTGTTAATGTTATTGGTTACACCTGTGCTTTGTCTGCTGTGAATAAGGTCTATTGGACAACAGCAATGCGTTTGTTGTATCCACACAAACGCTTCATGTTACCTGTGACTACTGCAAAAATATTTAAAAAGTGGGATTTCAGATTATTTTAAAAGCTTTGTCAGTCTTCGGTTGTTCATTTCTGAAGTTTAATGAGTGTACTTTATAGTATTGTAAAGGTACATTAGCATAGTAAAAATGTGTTACAGGTGTGTATGTGTGTAGGTTTGTACTTATTTATCAATGTCTGGTTTGTGTGTGTGTTTTACAGAGTACTGGAGTGCCAAGGTCTTCCAATAGTCAATGGCCAGTGTGATCCCTATGCTGCTGTCTCCTTACTAGGGCCTTCGAGGTCAGATCTCTCACACAGTTGGACATGATTGTACCACTCACCCAACACGGCTTTGTTTATCATTTTAGCTTTTGAATGAATGTGTGATTTCAGCTTTCCTTCTGCCTCCTTAGGTCAGATGCTAAGAAAACCAAGATGAAGAAGAAAACCAACAATCCACAGTTTGATGAGGTTTTCTATTTTGAGGTAAAGGCTTGCAGTGTTTTATTTGTGTAGTGTAATGTAATATTAACTTTGTAAGTGTAAAGGTGCGTTGCCATGTTGCAGATCAGTAAAAGCCAGAGAAATAGTGAGGGCTCAAAACACACAATATGGTCAAAAGTATATGAACATCTGAACAATACATCTGTATGTTGATTTATGTTGTTGGGACTTGCTTTTTGTCCCCATAATAATGTTGAGTCCCCACAACGTGACTACGTAAACACATTTACATCCCCGCCACATGGATAACACCAGGGCACACATACACACACACAAACCTTTCCCTTCCTTTATTGCTTTTACTTTTGAGATTTATGTAATTAAAGATCAGAGAAGTTTTTTTCTTTAATCTTATTTTTACACATGCCACAAAACATGTGCCAGTTAATATTTCTTTATATTCATTAGTTTATAGATATTTTTCATACACAGAAATGCCCAGAATCCCTTTCACACTGCCTCTGTTAACCCTCGCTCACCAGCAGCACTGCGCTGACATTTTTGTTTCACTCCTACCTCTGGCCTCCAGGAGACAGCAAGACAAGAGCATGATTGATTCAGACAAGCCACCAAACAATCTGGCCCATTGATTTCAATGCAACAAGACAGTCTCATTTATTCCCAACCACCACATGAACAGGGCTGTACATAGCCTGTGGTGCTTTCTGCTTGCAGCCCCCTCCTCTGTGTTGCACACAGAGATCTACATCTGCACGCAAATACAGGCCTTCTATGTTTCTGTCATGTGGTTGTCCCTTTTTTATATTTCAGATTGTATTTTCTTACCGCTCCAAAACTACATGGGTCCTGCCATTTCAGTCCAATTAAAAACACAGCGACTACTAATTTCAACAAAACAATTAGCAATTTAAAGGAACCATTTTTTTCAGTTTCCATGACCCTGCAACACACCTGATGGAGATACAGTCTTTGTGACACACCTTTACTCTGTGTGCATTTCTAGGTCACACGGCCATTAAGCTATACAAGGCGTCAGTTTGATGTTGAAGAAGAGGATGTTGACAAACTGGCACTGAGGTGAGCCAGTAGGCTTCGGAGACGCTGTCAGTGTCAGTGCTCAGCTTGGCGTTGTTCACAGCTTCTCCTTTATTTAGACTGTTTCTCTGCGGCTTGTGTTCAGGGTGGATCTGTGGAATGGCAGCAACCTGAAGTTTGGGGCTGAGTTCCTGGGAGGTGTGCGTGTTCCTCTCCGGGTCCTTGGTCAGGCTGGGGTCCACGACGCATGGTGAGTGGAGCATCAATTACACATCACATCACTGTCTTTCTAGTGGTGGAATGTACCTTTATTCAAGTGATGTATTTAAGTATAGGTTTGAGGTGCTTTACTTGAGTATTTCTATTTTTTAGATACAATTAGCCCACTAAATTTCACACAGAAATACTGGACTTTTTACTTGACCATATTTATCTAGTGTCAGCCCTGTGATAGACTGGTAACCTGTCCAGGGTGTACCCTGTCTCTCAACTTCACCTTTGTGCCACCCTGGACTATGTATTTCATTTGGAAAACTAAGCACATTGCCTCCATTAGCACAACTGGTGGCACTGCAACAAGCTGTAAACATAATATTGACATATTACAACCTTTTAAAGTTGATATGGTGATCATGTGTAGACACATAACAACAATAACATTCATTTGGAGTCATGTTTCTGGTCACTCAAGAACTGTGAGTTCAGTATTCACTCTGTTTTGGTCTGCCCCAACTCTAGAAATATCTAGCTCTGTAACCGCTAAATGCTCCGCAGTATTGCCAACTGGTTTTTGGCGCTGGGCAAGTACTGTACAGTCAGGTTTTAGGGCTTTTCCACTGAAAACAGCTGTCTACTGCTGCTAGAAATGATGATGACGAGAGTGGTGAGAGTGAAGTTTTGAGCCATAAAATGAAAATCTGTGAGCTAAACATTGTTAAAAAGCTCTGTAGAGCTGGGGGAGTTGTGATATCTCTCTGTGGGCTCATCACCACCAGAAACCTTTCACATCATAGTCATTTTTACCATTGCTATTATAAAAATATTGGTTAGTTCATCATTAAAGAAATGTTACAGCACTACTTTGGGCCTATCGGTTTGAAAATGATGAAGCAATTATCACTCATCAGTTTCCCAAGTTTAGTCAGTGACACTTCAGATCTTAAGTACCTTTATTTCTTCAGGTACTTTCTCCAGCCAAGAGAGAATGGGGGGAAGTCAGTGAAGGTTGAAGAGCTCGGCTCGCTCCGTTTGAACATCATTTACACTGAGGATCACGTCTTCCCCTCCGAACACTACAACCCCCTCAGAGATCTATTGCTGCACTCTGCTAATGTAGAGGTACAGTATGTGTATGTGGCTGTGTCTGCTCAGACATAATTTGCATCCTGCAGCATCTGTTACAGTTAACTGCTTTACATGTCACTGTTTGAATGCTATGCGTTTACTCCTGGTCTTCTCTCTTCAGCCTGTGTCGGCGTCCGCTGCTCATATTCTGGGGGAGGTGTGTCGAGAAAAGCAAGAAGCCGCTATTCCCCTTGTGCGTCTCTTTCTTCACTATGGCAAGATTGTGCCTTTTATCAGCGCCATTGCTCACGCTGAAGTCAACCGCACACAGTGAGTGTGTCATCATGTCTCGTCCCTTTGAGTAACACCAGAAAACACATGACACAGTTCTGTGGTTGTATCAGAGAGTTTGTGGACATCCTCAAAAGTGTGTTTATTTCAGGAGAGGAAGATGCATGTTCTGAATCCATATTTATGAAATATTTAGTTGCGTTTTGGCAGATCTGTATTGTAGCTTTATTGTTGTTAGCAATAATATGAGTGCAAGTTCTTCAACATAAGCCAGAATGTTGCATATTTGGGATTTGGAATGAATATAAACTGTATATTATATATTCTTGCATTGCTGTAGACAGACACTTAAATATAGAAATTAGGTCGTCAGGTTGTATGCAAATATCAACAAGCCTAGCATTTTGATATGAGAGTATGCCGGCACTCTAATATAATTTACTTTGGATGTTAAATGATTCTCGGAGGTCTTGTTTATTTCTTTTGTCGAGCCTTGGTGTCTCGTTTTGAGACAAGCTGTGTGGTTTTTTGTTTTGCTTTCTCTTCTTAAAAAGCACACTGCCTTCTGTTGCAGGGATCCCAACACCATTTTCCGGGGAAACTCGCTGACTTCTAAGTGCATTGATGAGACTATGAAGCTGGCTGGAATGCATTATCTGCAAGTCACACTCAAGCCAATCATTGATGAGGTATGACACTGCAATGCTTTCATGCTTTTGTTCTCTACTCGCAGTATTTGTGTCCTTTAGTTTTTTAAAATCCAACACTCTTTATTTCTTTATTTAATTCATCTCACATCCTCTGTAGAACATCTAAGGATATTGTGGAAAATCAATTACGAGTGGATATTTTAATGCTTTTCTAAATGTTCACAGATCTGCACTGAGCACAAATCCTGTGAAATTGACCCGGTCAAACTTAAAGAGTCTGAGAACCTGGAGACAAACAGGGTAGGATGTGCATGTATCTGCATTTTACTCTGTGTGCAGTTGCTGTGTTATCTGACACCCCTGCCATGCATCCGATCCTCAGGAAAACCTTCGTCAGTATGTCGACCGTATCTTCAATGTTATCACCACCTCTGGCGTTCGCTGTCCCACAGTCATGTGTGATATCTTCTTCTCTCTGAGAGAGTCTGCTGCCACCCGTTTCCAAGGTAACTCATCTCCTAAGTGACTTATGAGAAAAAAGAAACCAGGCGCCCCTCCTCCTCCTCCCACTTTGCACTATTCAATTGTCTGTTGCATAAAAACACTCAGAGCCTCTGTGCCAGAGAAAAGTTCCTTATATGCTCAATATACTTGGTGATTAAAGCTGATTCTGATATGGAAGAGGAAATAGACATTAAGGAACAGGATGCACAAGTTGTCCAAGGAAACTTGGACTTGGACACTGCTTACTCAAAATCACAGAAAGTCTTTCTGTGCTCTGCTATTTGTGTCAAACCTGAAGCCACTTAAGCCTCCTACAGTCTTATTATGGTTATGTGTATAGTGTAGGGTATAAACACACACTTAGTGTTATAGACTGTGCTGCCTCCTGTTGGTTGTCACCATGCACTGTAGTGGCACAAGGAACATGCTCGTATAAATGATAAAAAAAGAAAAATGTAGTTAGATTTTATTTTTGTGTCATACCAAACATTTGTCCCACATGGGATTAAAAGACTTCATTTTAATGTAATATGCAGCGTGTTAGATGTGAAGTATCCCGGCTTGTGTTTATTTCTACCCTTAGTTGACCAAGACGTTCGATACACAGCAGTGAGCAGCTTCATCTTCCTGCGTTTCTTCGCTCCAGCCATCCTCTCCCCCAACTTGTTCCATCTACGGCCGCACCATCCAGTGAGTTTTATCACACATGCAACCAATACTGCATATGTATACACTATGTATGCACTTATAAGTGCTGTCAATTATGTCGCAATCTTTATCAGGTGGAATTTGTTTAATTGTTAGTTTTTGATGTTTAAATTTACATTTCATTCTCATCTATGTTTAAAGTCTTTTTTATGGTCTAACTGGGTCCAGGTTTAGAATTCATATCAGTAATTTTATGATTGGGTCATGTGGGATTTACAATATATCATTTTATCTCATGTGTTTTTGTATCCCTAGGATCCCACCACCTCACGAACCCTCACTCTCATCTCCAAGACCATCCAGACCCTGGGAAGTCTAGCAAAGTCTAAATCTGTGAGTTTCTCAGATGAACCTGTGTTTTTCTATTTTCTTTCCCCTGACTAAACTACCCTACATTTGTATTTTGATCTAAACTGTCAAATTCCAACACAACTTGCTGATCTTTGTCACTTTTTGTTTCCACACATTTATTGCTTTCCGGACCAATATCAAGGAGTCTTACATGGCTGCATTTTATGACTACTTCAATGAGCAGAAATATGCGGATGCTGTGAAGAATGTGAGTGTTTGGCTTCTCTGCCAGTCTCTAGACACATTATCACATATTCTTTTTTGCCATGTATACAGGTGTTAAAAGAAAAGCTCAGATTGATGGATAATGAAATGAATTTTTGAACAAAAAAGAGGGTGAACAGAAGTTACCACCACAATAAATATGCTGGCATCCCTTACTTCTTGTCACAGTTCCTGGATCTGATCTCCACTTCTGGCAAATGGGATCAGAAGAGTATTGAAACACCCATCATGCTCAAAGAGGGGTAAGCAGCCAAGACAAGACAGCTGTGTTGACTATTAAGATTGAACTGTACAGACTGAGATTGATACTACTGACATATCTGTGTAGTAAATATAATATGGACCCCTGGGTAAGCCATCACCTGGTTGGTTTATGCTACATTCATGTCATTTACTTTTTCTGTTATTATGAGCAGCCCAGTGGAAAAAAAACCATCAGCCTCCAACTTATAGTTCTGAATTTCTGACAGGGACAACACTACAGATTCAACTAGCTGCTCTTAATGCTGTTCCATGGCCATTCAGAATTCTGGATTCTGATTGGCTGGAACATGCACACTAACTTTTGCTAATGGCAGTTTAACTGAACGCCTATGACATGTTTGCTGTTCTAAAATAATTATGTGTCAATATTAAACTGTAGGTAAAGACATCAGTCGCTGAGCCTCAGCTAAAAGGAATATTAACTGTGGTTGTTGATATTGATTTTACACCATTATATACTATTATGTAATGTCTGAAGTGGCTAATTTAAGGTTCTTATCTCGTGTAACTACAAGGTTATCATTAGGGCTAACACTCCTTGGAATAATTGTGTTTTTTATACAGATTAAATAAACACTATATATGTAAGTGCTGGCTGCTGCTTCATAGTGAAGAGACAAACGTGCCAGTGGTATCTTTATTTTTTTCATCTAGCTCTGTGTCAGAAAGCAAATAGGTGTATTTTCTTAAGCGTCAAACTATTCCATTAAATCATCACTAAAGTGAAGCTGGATTTTACTCTCACATAGAGTCTGCGACCTCTCACGGTCCAGTACATTTCCAAAGTGAACAGTTGCAGCAAAGCTACACCTGAGGTTGTAAACTGAGCCCGTTCTAACACATGGGCTTTTGTTTTGACGATATTTGTGATGACGCTGTAAAGGGGAGGATAGTTTCCAGTTGACGCCTCTCTTATCAACATCCCCATCGTGTTTTGTTTCTGCTACCGGGCATAGGAGTGTAAAACTCACTATAAAGAGGGTTGATGGGAAGGGGTCAAAAGACATGAAGGGCAGGTAAGAGCTTTTCTATGTAAGGCTTTTCCCCTTGTGAGCCCCTGTGTTTCCACCGGAACCCTCCAAACCAAGCCGGTATTTTTTCTGCCACCACATGCTACTGTCGCTGCTGCTGCACTTTACTTTGTTTTTATATATGAGCACCTTCTGACATGTGTGATTGATTTTCATCTTTCTACATTTAGATGGCAGTAGACTGATGCCTACAGTGACTACAGTGATATAAAGTAAAGTGTTAAATTTAGGCCTGCTTACCTAGAAGGCATCACTAGTCCTGACAGTCTTTGGTGATCCTCTCTATGCCAGACATGCTTGGTGTGACAATGATAGCAGGGGTTGGTTACTGTACAAACATTTTTGGATTCCCATGCCTGCCCACACCCTGAGCCTGTATACCCTTTGTCCAGACTGTGACTACATGTGTAATTACCATACACATTAGACTTTCCAGCACAGCTCCAGGCACTATGGCAGATGTGAAACTAGCACGTAGTGTGAAAAGAAAGCAAGTGTTTCTGTGGGAGAGCATTAACTTTGGCGATATGATCTTGCACCTCATAGTTTATATACCCTATAGCCCCCAGACTCTAAAACAAAAACTTGTTGGTGTTTACTCTGTCTTACAGGTCCATACTGTTGGTTTTACATGTTTGAACAACAATAACTTACATCAAATAAGGGATGCATCATGCAGGAGATTTAAAATATTGTGATGTATTTGAACATTTCTGTCTCACACCAGCTCATCTGTCAAGGTTTTCATTTGTATTTCTCTTCCTTCAGATTCATGATAAAGAGAGCACAAGGTAGAAACCGGTTTGGAATGAAGAATTTCAAGAAGAGATGGTTTCGCCTCACCAACCACGAATTTACCTACCACAAAACGAAAGGTAACATCACAGGTTTCTCAGGGTCTTCTTACAGCTGCATTGTTTCCTCATCTCTTTATGTCATTATGTGTGTTTGCATGACAGTCAGCAGGAGGGTGACAACCAGGGAGAGAAACTGTTGAATCTACATTTAGTCTGAACACTCTGCCCATCCAGAACATGTGGTGAAGATTAAGTTACTGAGTTGGCAATGCACATGAGCTTTTCTAAATTCTTAACTACATTAGAGGGTGGATACCCGAACCAAACCCAACAGGACCCATCGATGCCCGAGGGTTCAGGTTTGACCACATACAGTAGGTCAACCTTTGGCTAAAATGACATTATTGCATGTAAATATTTCACTTGTAAATGAATCCATGCTTCTTCTTTAGTCTAATGTACAGTCCTATGACTAATAAAAATTAAAATGAAGAGCTTATGCAGTGCATGACAACCCTATTCATGATATTAGACGCACATAAAAAACACACACACACAAAGTCAGCAGTGCCAGGCTTGGCATATTATAATATGTAATGTGTTTTGACCATACTTAGGCTGAGAATGTCCCATCAATATGGTTCTCATATGTTTGGAGCAGTTAATACTTCAATCCATTGGTATACAGATATTTAGATAATTAAAAAAGTGCTCTATACAATTGGTACGTAGTATGGAACTAGGATAATGGCAGACTAACATGGGTTGAGTGAATAATGTAATTATTATGGTATAGACATGGTTGTGACCTTTTGTCATTTCCCATGTTTGATGTGTTTCCATGTACCTCCAGGTGAGGGGGCTCTGTGTAGCATTCCCATAGAGAACATCCTGGCTGTAGAGAGGCTAGAGGAGGAGTCTTTCAAGATGAAAAATGTAAGGACCCTTCACAGCAACCTCTGTTGCTCTCCTACACATTTAGACTCTACCCTCATTTGCCATCCCTGTTTCCCTCCTACAGATGTTCCAGGTAATTCAGCCAGAGCGTGCGCTCTACATCCAGGCCAACAACTGTGTCGAGGCGCGCGACTGGATCGACATCCTGACCAAGGTCAGCCAGTGCAATCGCAAGCGCCTGAGCACCTACCATCCTTCAGCCTACCTCAACGGTCACTGGCTGTGCTGCAAGCTCTCGGCAGACACAGCCTCTGGGTGTACGCCCTGCACTGCGTATGTAGAGTTGCTCAAATCAATCCAGCATCAAGTTCCTTTCTTTGGTTTCCACTCACTCTTCCATTTTCCTGTATGCCTTCGTTTTCAGTGGTCTTCCAGCCAACATTCAGCTGGATGTAGACGGGGACAGAGAGACAGAGAGGATTTATTCCCTGTTCACCACATACATGACAAAACTGACCAACATGCAAGGTCAGATGCTGACAAATGTTTTTAGTGTTTGTGATCATGCATGTAGCATTCCCACCCTGTATTTTTTCACATTGTCACTTTTGTCCAGTCTATCACTCTGCTTGCTGTCTTCCCCCACAGAGGCTTGTGGCAGTAAGTCTGTGTACGATGGGCCCGAACACGAGGAATACTCCAGCTTTGTTATCGACGACCCCCAGGAGACCTTTAAAACCCTGAAGCAGATTGTTTCAGCTGTGCAGACCTTGGAGCAGCAGCACACCCAGTACAAACGTGACAAGTTCAAGAAAACAAAGATAGGCAGCCAGTATGTGGTTTGTTGTTAACTTCTGCTTGTAGCTCAGATTATATTTGTTTATAAACTGCACTTATTGCATATTTAATGCAGTGGGGGCTGTGGGAAAAATTGTAGGTTTCAAAAAGTAAAATTTACTGTAGTCAAATACTGAGCAGTTCATTTTTTGTTCCAGTGGGTGGCGCAGTTGTATAGTCCACAAATGGTAGCCACTGCAAATTAGGAAAGCACATACAAATAGACACAACACAAGTAAACTAAGAAAACATCTTCACCATGTTATTCTTTGTTTCCACAGGGAACATCCAATTGGAGACAAGAGTTTTCAGTGCTATATCCGCCAGAAGTCCGAGAGCTCCACCTACTCTATCTAGCCATGGCCCTGTGTACTGTTTTGATGCCTCGAACCAGCAGCTTTTTCTTTATTGCAAATCCATTTTAACAATGCTCTGTCTAGTTTGGGGTTTAAATCCCTATTTTTCTTTAAACCAAGAGTTGAAAAAAGTCATTAAGTTGATATTGTATCTTCACTTGTTTCCAATGCCGTGTATCCATACTTGAAGATGTTCTTCAAAAGGAACATTTCACTTTTTTAAACCATTTCAGGAAGCAGCGGGTGCTGGATTGGAAACAAGTATCACCTGATTTACTGATTTCCTCTGTTTTAAGACTCAGTGCCAGATTGAATGAGTTGTATAGATGGAGTTTTCTGAGGTGTCTCGAGGTGTATCACTCCAAATTTGCAGGAACAGACCTCAGATCAGCAAGATAAAACTGAAGAACAGTTGAAGAGTAAAGAAGGGAAACAGGTGAAGAAGATAATCATGCCATACTTCTCCTCGGGTCTTATGTTGTTATTTGATAAGCGAACAAACTTTTTCACTGGACATTTTTGACAGTGACCAACACGCACTTTAATTGTATCCAAATCTATGGGTGTTCAAGCCTAGCAGCACACTTTCATAAAGCAGATTTTATTTGTTTGATTTGTATTTGTTTATTTTAATGCTTGAAATGTTCAGTTGTAGTTCACGTCTGGCAGACCAAACTCAAGACGAGAGGAAGGATGAGAAATATTATCCTGTTTTGTGCAGTTTTATGTGGCGTTGGGGGATGGGGGGGTTGTTTGTTTTGTCCCCAACCTCTTCAAGAAGGTTGCTGTGAAGGTTGAGCAGAAACAAGACGGGATTGTTGTCGAGCAACTTGATATTAGTGATGAAAGCCTATCCTTAGTAGTTTCATAACTCATTTTTAATTCTTAACATCCATGTTCTAACAGATGTATAGGTTTACGTTTTCATGTTCCATTTGAATCCTTCTTGTAATGTGGTTGTATACAGTATTGTGTCTCCTGTAACCAGTGCCTGGGTTAAAGGGAGAGCTTGCTTTTGGGTTGTTTTTTTCTTTTATTCTGCTTACACTGAGTCAGACAAACTCATGGATTCCTTTATATGATGTTTAAAGGTATGTTAAATAGTTTCCTTAGAGTGGCTGAGTTTATGGATGTCAGCATGCTACTTCTCTTTGAAGTAAGGCAGCAAATGTTGGATGGATGATTAACTGAACTCAATCTTTGAACAAAGAAACTACAAGCCAGACAAACCCGTTTCTGCTGACATCTGGGCCATGTTAGGGGCGCGGAGTTAAAATGTTGACTTCCAAAATTTCTGAATTGTGGTGTTGCACATAAGCACAACTTTATTCAGTAAATTGCAGCGTGTAACCACAATATAAACTGAAATAATAATGCGCTTTCAGCATCCTCTCAGTGCCCACATCATTAGGTACACCTGCTCAATTTCTTGTAATTCTTGTAATTCAATTTCTTGTAATAGCAGGACAGTTGTATTTGAATGCTTTCAATTGCACAAGAACAGTAATAAGGTCGCCAGCGAGCGCATATACTATATAGTGTGCCTACAGATTTAACAAACAAATTTGTAATTAATGAAGTCACCAAAAACTAAGCAACACATGTTGAACCTACAGCCTTTGAGTCCCTCTTGGGCTCCTGGGAAGTTGTCTCTTCTTCCCAGTTGGGGGTCCCGCCGTAGTTGACATGCACACACACATTTCCAGAAAAGTAGTTTTAACTGTAATGTAACTATTATAGGCAGATCTTCACTGTATTTTGCTACTTTTTACAGCTGCTCGGACTTGTTTTCAACATCCATTAAATAAATTCAGCCAGGTTCACCATTTAACATACCCTTACACTACATACAGACATAATGATAGACGTAATGAAGGCATATGTTTGTTTCACTCTGTGTAAAGACTAATTAATAATGATGACTTTAGATTCTGTAGTGGTTAAAATGTAACCACACTTCATGTCTAAGTAATCCATATACTAATGTTTTAACCTGCCTTGTCTTAGGTTATGATTGTGAAACAGATAGTGTGTTACTGATTGTGTTGCCCTGTTGGCTGCCTAATGATGTAATTCTTTTGTTTTGTGAGTTAACCTCATTTTACTTTGGAAAAGCTGCAGCTGTAGTTTAAAACCTATGTATATGCATTTCTCTGAAAAACTGCCTGCTGTGACTCTTACTGGTCAGCACCTCAGAATCAGTTGAAGGTACAGGATTTATTGTTGTTCACCGGTTGTGTGGTATTTCTTCTCTGCTTCCCAAAGGCAGTCACTCTCACTGACACTTAAATTCATTAGCACGGCGTTTCAGCCAAACCAGCGCATGTGAAGTGTAGTTGTGGTCTCGGAGATGGTAACCTCACCTCTCTGCACCCAGGTGACTACAAACCACAGACAAATTTTGTATTTTCCAAAACTAAGTACCTGGTAACATAGCATCATGGGTATTTCCATGATCAGAGGATCACAAACAGTGCCAGTCATCACTTTTCTAAAATTCTCCTTTTGAAAAACAACAAAAAAAAATCATTGTTTAGATATGTTTTTTATATCTCAAAACTTATAACTGTTTTAAAAACAGAGAAGCAATTACTCTGATTTCATCTTTTTTCTTTGTCAAATATGTTGAACTGTAATGAGGATTCTCAACAGTTTGACTGTGTTTCCTATCTTTGTCTTGTCAGACAGAAATCTTGCTGTGTTATCTAAACTGAATGACTGAGGTGCGCGTTTGTTTTGTGCGTGTCTGTGTCAGTATGTGCATGAGTGACTGATATAACGGGTTGTATTGCCAATTGAATTAAGCCAGTGTTGCAGGTCAAGAAAGGTGGAAAAGAAAATTACTGGTCATAATTAAATTAAAGATGATAGCAAGACTGTGGTTACTCTACTCTGGCCTGATACGGTCTGTCTCCTCCTCCCTCTTTTATAGGACCAATATTCCTTTCCAAGAAACGTTTGCCAGTATATTCTCCCCAAACACTTTATGTATGCAACACAACAACAACATCAGTGTGTTGCTTTAACCCCTGAACTTTGTTGAGCGTTTGTTTCCACCAGTTACTAATTCTACTCAGGTTTATGAAATTCAGCACTGCATGTTGTTCCAGGACCAAGGACACTCAAAACTAAAACCACCAAACATCTCTGTCTGTCATCTCTAACTTGGTGTTCATATTTATTACCATTCAGCAAAACCTTCCCAGAATCACCAGCTGAGTTGGCGGGGTAACAGCATTTACAGTAATGGCATCTGCTCTACCCCGAAGCCCCCCAAAGGAATGACTTATGCAATAATGGTGGTTCAGCATGCAATAATATTAACTTCCCCCAAATAAACCCATCAGATTATCACAAATTAACAATGCACATGTGCTGAACGCTTGCAGTAAAATGCCTCTTAAACACATACTATTATTAATGGGGAACGGTGTATTTTGTACAAGTATTTCAAAAGTATTCAAATGATCCTGTTGTATGTGTACATAAAAGAGTTGAATGGAAATAACTAAATTGAACCAATATTAATGCAAACGTGGTGCCTGAGTCATTTGTCTTTAATCTGTATCACAGCAGAACGTTCACTTTGTTTCACTTAGTACAGGCATTTTATTAAAATATGTAAGAGGAAGTTTGGATGTTTGTGTGTAAAGCTGTGATGCTGCTTTTAGAACAACAGATATATGTTGGCCCTCTGTACAGTACATCCATTGTATATTTATATGAATCAGACCTTTTTCACACATAACATTTCATTAGATATAACATGAAAAGCACAGCTGTAATTAATAACAATATAATTGGAACAGAACAATATTTCCTTCCAGGAAAGGTCAAACATCTGCTGTCATGTCCAGCTGTTTCCCAGTGTGGTCCCCTGGCTTTGTCATTCATGTACAGTGCCTTGTCTGATTTTTGCCCCAACGACCTAAAACTGACATGTTGAATCAGACTGACATATGTTGAAGTGTCAATTCATTTTGTTTTTCTTTCCAATTTTGCATTATTTCTGTGTTATGCATGTGCCATTATGAGTGAATGGTGTATGGAAAATTGGAAAAACAGATATGGAGCAATGTTGATGTGGCAGATTCATTTTTAGAATGTCAATAGCAAAATCTCTCATGTGGAATTCAAATCACCATGCAAATCAAGCAAATCATAATACAAAGACAGGATTTTGCAGCCTGTCCAGCTTCTTTAATCATATTGTGGAAATAATATGGTATAGTACGTGCTGTTATTTACCACCTGCCTGAGAGGTCAGGGGCCCCCGGGTCAGAGCCTCTGTATTCCCACATGTACTCATCATATAAATCTACACATCTAGACTGAGTCCCACTTCACCAGTCCTATCCATTTCTAGTCACTTCCAGAAATCCTGTGCTCCGGGCCTCCTATCTTGTATTGCTGGCCTATTTTGTAAACCGGGTTTCTGCATGGGTTCCACCAACCAGCAGCATCACGCATGTGAGTAAACCAATGGCGATGTGCGTGACTGTGTTTGCAGCGCTCTCTAGCTGCCTCCCCTCATCATACCCCCGAGAGCCTCTCTCCTGGCGGCCCTTTCGACTCCCCCTCTCTCTGCGAAAACACTTTCGGGAAGAAACGCGGATCCGTGCGTGCTCAGCCAGTCTTTTTTTTTTTTTAGAGCAAAACCGTGGCCTAGCAGGAAGAACGGCTCGAACATGCGGGGAAAGAAACGGGCGTTTGGGGAGTCCTTGGTTTGGCTTGTGTGTCTCGTGACGCTCGTCGATGCGTATCGATGTAAGTGTTTGGTTTGTTGCGGTTCTTTTTCAACTCCACGGACTAAAGTGGTTCATCGGTATAGCCTGGTACAGACAATGCAGTCTAGGTGCCCCACATCGGAACGAGGAGCTTTTTTTCAAACAAGATGTGATCAATTGGTTTATAACATTTAGAATGAGAGCAGCAAACGGAGAAGGGGGGTCATGACTCCTGAAACAGTGCTTGGACAACATGAGCTGCTTGTTACAACAACTAGGGGTCATTTCTGGGAAATAACGGTTTCGCAATGACCTTTTTTGCCAGGCCGGTTCATATGAGAATAAGACTGTCCATTCTGTGCATGCTGGCACATCAACCATCTGTCATGTGGGAACAGGGGACTTAAATTCCAGCAGGGATCAGGCATGTGTTATTGTAATGGAGCTGGTTGTAATCACACATGTAAGAGTATCACTGGGGGTAACCTACACAATCTAAAGTTCTTATTGTTGAAAACATGCACACAACACTGACTATGGAAAGCTTTACACATTATATTAAAATGAACGTTTGTATATCTGCTGTATGTCTGTCCTAGTCATAAGCCAGGACATAGCCTCCCAGTTCCTGAGCAGGCACAGGAGAGCCAACTCTATGTTTGAGGAGAGCAGGAAGGGCAACTTGGAGAGGGAGTGCATCGAGGAGCTGTGCAACAGGGAGGAGGCCAGGGAGATCTTTGAGAACGAGCCAGAGACGGTAAGAGCAGTGACCTCACTGCTTTCCTGAAGGGAAAGCTCCCTGGTTCCAGACGGCTCATTTGCTGACCACATTTTTGATTTGAACAGCAGTTCAGAAACTGAATCAAGTGAGTTTTGTGTGATCATCAAGCTAAGGGGGATAAAAAGGATGAAGTGAATGTTTAGAGATGAATTAAGCAGTCCAAGTGCAGAACATGCAAGTACAACTACATTATTTAATTGGTTAATGGTGGTTGGTCTATAAATTGTCAAAATATCAAAGACGCCAGTCACAGTTTCCCAGAGCGTATTTAGATGTCTTCACATACATTTTGTCAGACCAGCGGTGCGAAATAATACTGAGGTCATCAGCTGAACTCCATATCACACACCACTCCCCTTGACAACAAAAAATTTGGCTTGTTCCTACTTCATCTACCTGTTCAGTTGTATTTGTGAGTTTTATTTAAATTAAGCATTTCTTTCAAGAAAGTTCTCCTGGATTGGATTGTACCAACTGTACGGGCTATGTGTCAGTCCATTACTAAGTGGGTGTGTGTCAGTATGTTCCTAAAATCTTAGTACTGGACAGTTTCCAAGTTGTGATTTATTAAGTCAGGTTGCATTATTCAAGCTTAAGAAATGTCTCAGCTAACTAGTAACGAGTAGCAATGACTGTGCAAATTTCCTGCTAGGAACATCTGTAGCATCTGTCAAACAAAAGGTGTGAACCTTGTAAACATGAAGTGCCTGTTTACATGTTGGAGATGTAATATAACTTCCAGAAAAATATCAGTTTTGTGTGTCTTTTATTTTGCTCGTTTGTTTTTGTGTGCCTTTTTTGTTTAATTATTTTGTGTCTAGTCTTTAGTTGTTATTTCTTTTTTTGTTTTCCATTTCTTTTTAGTCACTTTGCTTCTCTCTCTGGTTATTTTTGTCTCTCACTTCCTTCTCTATGAAGTTTTTTGTGTGTCCTTGTGCTTGTATCGCAGGGACTTTGCGTGTGCTGCAGGATTTAT